ATTTATATTAAAATTATATTGAATATGTAAATCAGGAAGACACGTGTCAACAACCGATAAGAAATAGCGGTGGGATGTTATATATCAGAACTACATTTTGAGATGGTTCGATCGCTTATGGAAAGTATAACTAACAGCCCTTATGCCAAATAATCATAAACTCAAATCATAAAAACGTTGTAAGATTGGCAATTTATGATTTCCAAGATGGGGATATTACTTTTACTTAATGACATTGGGAAACAAAAAAATATGAATTAACTTGGGGAAACAGAAACCATCCGGAAAGAGACTTGCAACAAGTCGTACCCCCGCCGTGGTAAGCAAAGTGCAGTGTATTGTAACAGGTGAGAATCTTGAGACTTAAAGGTCAGTGGCAAAAGGATCTCTTTCTGGAAACAAGGACAATGGGGGTATGCATTCGCCAAGATAAGACTTCCAGTCATACCTCTCGTTCAACTGTCGCATATCTCAGGCAGCTGGAGAATAAAACGGTTACTTATGTTATTCCATATGAAGACATACCAGTCAAGTCGCCTATGGATTGTTGAAATGGGTGATGGGAACTCAGATTGGTGTGCTTTTAGCATAACAGCCTAACAACCAGCCTTTTACAATGGAAACTGCGCCGCTGAACTATTGTCAAGAACGGTCGTCAGATAGAACATGATTGGATATGGCTTCACGGACTGTAACAATGTGGTGAAACTCCAAAATCGTATTAATATAACGTACTCGACCGTCTGTATATATTTTCATATTCGACCGGTGTTTATATACAATTCAATACTTTCCTAATATATTTGTTATTGAATATTTTAATTTTCGGAAATTTATTAAATTTGTAACCTTAGACTTTTCTGACATTGAGGTATTTTAGGGGAAAACAAACAAACAGCATTTAGTATTCTATCTTTGGCGAAGACTTATCAAAATCTCATTTAATCCTAATCACGATTTGATCACTGCAATCAACAAGCCTTTGGGAAGTTCCTTGCTCATCACCAAATGGCGTAGAGGAACTATCCTTCATAATTTTGTTCCATTTCTCATTTTCAGCTGATTGTATTCACCGATGAACCAATAATAAATAAAACATAACGATTATCCTTTTCAAAATTCTAATAATTCTAGCCTCACCATTAAATATACTAACTATTTTTGAATCCCCAAAAATGATTTAATTTACTTACACGGATATTGTTGAAGTTAAACTTGCTTCTATCTTAAACCATTAAGTAGAGTTTTTGTTCGAGTCTTATAAGAAAATAATCAATTATTCAACTTTTCACTAATATGACAAGGGTTAGTTTTTACATGAAATTATCCCCATATGTTGAAAACAGATTGTAATATTTTCGCGATTTTCATATGTAAACAAAAAATGTAAATGTTTAAGTCATTCAATGCCGTTTGTTTAGCGGCGACCGATAATAATAACTCCTGTAAAAATAATACAATAAATGATACCAGTATTGATAACTCCTGTAAAAATGACACTTATAAAATAACTGCACTATTAATAATGCAAACTAGGGGAAAGTTTTGTTAAACATAAGTAAAAACCATGCATATATTAACTCGAATAATTTAGCGCCCTCTATCCCACAACGATCGAATTTTAGCAATCGGAGATAAGTGCAAAATAACGACTGAATTATTAGTGTTAAGCAAACATATAATTTTTTTGTATATTTTCTTCCCCTTTGAGAGAAAAAAAAAGTTTAATATTTTTTACAATTTATATTGGTACCATTTTTTCCGGGATTACATTACAACAGCTTTATCTAAGCATGTTACAACGGAAGTCAAGTTTTCCCATTAAAGTGAAAAGCTATTAAATTATATTTGTTTCTGTATTTTCTTAACGAAAATTATTGAATTTTTCCGACCTGTGTTTCATCTTTCAGTATGCTGAGTATTTCAAAAGAAAAGATGTTTGGAGGAGAATGGACTCCTGCGATGTAATAATTACAATTTCGGATTTTGTATTCTCTCTTTTTTAATTAGGTAGATGGTAACGTTTTTTGTATTGAAACCCCTTTGGTAATTTGATTAACTACAAATGCTTAAACAATTACTATTTTGCATTCATACTTAATATGTTAATTCAGGTATTACAGTGGCCTTGGCCTCGTGATGTAGGCCTATTAATATTACTAATTTACCTTATCAATCGTATTACCGTCTAAATCAATCTTTATTTTAAACTTACTGGGAAGTCTCTTAAACTCAGTATTTGTTATTACTTTTGACCAGCATGTTCATGTCTTGATGTTCATTATTAGTATATTACTAATAAACTAAAATTTTTATATCATCTAACTGCTGAGCTTCATTGGATTTATAAAGTATTTATAACTGCAGAAAATGCTTTTGTTTGGTTTGATTGTTTTAGGGCAACGCTACATCGGTCTATCTGCTGAGTCCACCGCGGGGAATCGAACCTTGAATTTGAGCGTTGTAAGTATGTAGACTTACCGCTGTCCCATCGAGTTTCGATACCCGTGGTGGGCACAGCACTCATAGCCCCTTTTGTAGCTTTGTGCTTAATTACATATTTTTGTTTCTTTTCAAAACGATGCTAAGAGATTCGTTTTCAGTATCGATTAAAGGATCTTAATTACAATATGCTGCGTAAAATGTAACATTGCGTAAAATGTATCATTTGCTGTACAGGTCAGAAAATGCTCAGGCAGGATATTTAATTCAATTTTTAGTATTACACTCATCTACGACACCCACGAATCAAATCAATAGCCAATGATGGAAGTAGAGGTCCAGGATGTACCTGATCCTCCCAGGTCACATGACCAAAACAACGATTAGTGAAACGCTTTTAGCTGAATTATTTATTTAAGGTTTGAGAATGTGGTTGATAAGACGCTACAGAGAGTTTATGCTGCTGATAAAACTGTATTTGTGTGAGGGAAGTGACACAGAGCTAGATAGATTGTGGTGTAAATTTTGAATTGATTCACCCAATGCCTTTTTTTTTTAAGCAGGAATTGTGAAATAAAAATTAACAGAATTTAAAGATAATATTATTTTTCTTAGAATGACGATAATATTCAAATATTTTGAACTAAGTAGATGTCTGAAAACACCGTACTGGGCTATGATCTTCAAACTTGCTGCAAATGATCGAATTATGAGTAGAAAGTGTAAAATGTTGGTTTAGAGACAATATAGTGTTAGTAAATAGTAAACGAAAATTGACTTTGCAAACTTAATTTTTTTTTGCAAAAATAAATGCTTATATTATGATAAATTGGTATAAACGTAGAGTACAAAAAACAACAACACATATATCCTTCCCTGACATTTATGTGATTATTCACTGATTATAAAAATGTACATGGAATTTATCATTTTCCAGAGAAATTTAAATAACAGTTTAGTCTAAAATCGTTCGATACTCGTTTTACGAAGTAGGATAGAGACAGGACTTTCTAAACATTCTAAGAAATTGGCCAATTTATTATTTCACTGTTGAAATTAATATTCATATTTGTTTATTTATAACAAAATTTCAAATATCTAGCACTGGATAAAAGGGTATTCAGTTTTATGACTCAGAAAACTGAATAAAACTATTACTGGGTTAACTTTTATAAACTTTTATTTTTATTAAAATAAACAGACATCAAACCTTAGAGTAGCATGTTCTCGTCTACTTTAGCTTCTTAGTCACTGTGGTGATGACCACTTAAATTTGGTATGGCAATCACTTTAGACTGTTAGTCACCGTAGTGATCATTCCTTTAGACTGTTAGCTACCGTAGTAGCCTCTTAGTTACTGTACCGATGAAAATTTTAGCTTCTTATACAACGTAGCGATGACCACTTTAGCTTGCTAATCACAGTGGTATGATGAATGGACTCCAGCTGTAGTGCTGTTTGTTGTAAAACGTCGATGTATTCCTTCTAAAAAGTAGTTCAGATAGGAAAAGCAAGGAAGTATCTCTATCTACTGGAACTTCTTAGCAGTGTATGTTCCAAGAAGCGGCTATTAAAACCTCACCGAAAATACACTCGCTCAGTAAAGCTAAAAAGTTGCTTACGTCTTTGTAAAAATAGAGAAAGATAGTAGAGTAATCAGTTCGCATGAAAATGTTAACGAAAACGACAAGTAGTAATATAGCACTAAGAAGAGAAATAAGCTTGTATTAAACTAAGATCTCAGGAAACATCGCCGGGGTTAGCGCATACGAAAACAAGCTCAACGTTACGCTACTTTCCTAACACTAAGTTCAATCTACAGGTGCGTTGGTGTATGGACAGACCTATATCGCTGACAGATAGACAGAGAGAAAGGAGGGGCAACTTGTTGAAATGGTACTCCTTGTTAGACAGGTTCTACCAGACTGGGCCGACAAGATTTGTCGACATAAACTTAACAAAAATCTAAGATATGGATATCTTTGACATCTGTTAACGTAACTAGGTCAGAATTTCAACTTAGTAGACAAAGTTTTTGCTAATAAGTTAAAAATATAGTGTGAAATAAATCCAAAAATAAAAACTGTCATTTTTCTCTGATCTTTATTGTTTACCAATGTGTGCTTTCCTTTGATAAACATAAATTTTCATCATTTATTTGACATATCTGATAGAGATATTCCTTAATTTTAAATGAGTTTGTTGTTAAGCACAAAGCTACATAATGGGCTATCTGTACTGTGCCTACCCAATTTTTAACGTTATTAGTCTTCAGCCCCGCTGCTGAGCCACTTGGAGCTTTACTACGAGATTCTTTTATTTTCCTGACTTGTAATGTTTGTTTTAGCGCCATCTGGTATAAACTATATGTAGCCCGAAGTAGACTGTGCAGTTTTCTGAGTACACAATACGCAAACAAAATTCTATAATAATATATGCTCTGAAGATTGGACATCTACAACATATATGTGTGTGTGTGTAAAATAAGTAAAATGGACAGTGATTAAACATTCAACTGTCTTTATTTTGTTGTATTTTATTAATAATGGTTTCTCTACCTAGGAAAGTAAGTCGGCACAATGTTGTTGCTTTATATTTGAACGCCATCACTCTGGTAGGCATTTGGTATCTGAAAACAGTCCAAAATCTAAGCTGTTTGTCCTAAAATAGTATTTACCATTTTTGTTTTAGGGTAAAAGGATAGCTTCCTTGAAAACGTCAATTCAGTCTCTCTTTTTTTATGTCTTAATTTTTTTTAAAGAGTTGCCATAAAGTACAGCAACACATCGGAAAGTCGGAATTATTCTCAAATAACCGCTTGTATGTTACGCCTATATTAATATTAATATCTAGGACATTTTGACTAATCCTGCTAAACATGAACAATTTTTATAACAGTCTATACACCTCGTTCATTTTCTAGTTTTTTTATTTCAATTGTATAACATTTGACACACCTCCATTAAAGGTGGTCGACCTTTTTGTATGTGAACTATAGGCAAGGGACGGTTGTATATATGTGTATATAGGTATACATTTGTATTTATACTACAGAGTAAAGGTCGTAAAAACTAAAAAGAAAAAAAAAAAAGGAAGGAGAGGCTAAATTCCATTGTAAATATTTGTTCTTTAAGAATGTACGACTCTCTGTTCTAACAAAGGTATTAATATAATTACTGTATGGGATATAATGAAAACTGAAGCAACAAATCACGTGAATCTTCAGGCTAGAAAAACTGAAGAGTGATAGAGAAAACATATGACCCTCAAGGAGTCAATATATTAAAATAAAATTGGAAAACTTTTGTTTATAATAGTGTAATAGATAGACAAATATTTATCAACACATTTTATTTTATTCAATTTCGAGTCCACCTTCATGGCCTCAAGTTAAAATTAGTTTTTAATCACGCGTTTTTCAATAAAATTCTGCTTCTTGATGGTTCAGCGGTAAGTTTTAGAGCTTCTAACGTTAAAATTCGGAGTTCAATTCCCACGGTAGACACGCCACAGTAGCCCACTGTGCAGTTTTATGCTTAACAACATACTAAACATCTCCAGAGCTTCTAATGTATCAGTAAAAGTTAATATGAGTAAAAGTTACTGGATTCCTGGCGACAATCAATTAGGTTAACCTAAAGGGCGGAGTATGTTCTGCTGAATTATGTTCCAAACTTTCGACATTCGGAATCGTAGACTAACGTGCTAACAACCATTAGGCCATTTCCGACCCTTGCAACAAGTATCCTATAAATCCTAAAGGTGCAAGGCTCGAGACACGATATTGCTGAATACGGTTCGCACCTTCAGCTTTGGACGCGTTATAAAAGTGACAGTGAATCTCATTATTCAAATAAATGGACAAAAATATTTTTGTCGGATGCTATTCCCTCTGGCCAATAGTTCAAAATGGGGTAGGTTTATAACTATTTCGATTGATGGCTGCGATACGTAAGTGGGTTATTCCAAGCCTATGCTTTGCTACAGTGATATTACGAACGTCATCTTCATCGAGATTTACAACAAGAGAATGACAAAATGTGAGAGGTATACATTATCTTAACTAAGAGGATTAAAGAAACGAGGAAGAAAATGATGTGGGCGAAAAAAGATTAAACCGGTAAATCGGTAAGACCAATTTTTATTCATCTGCAACTCAAAACCATAGTTCGCGATAGATTAGAAAACTTTAACAATGTGAACTGTATATAATGACGTATTAAGAAATGTAACTATTCCTTTTAAAATGTCAAATTATATAATTATAGAATATGGGCAAGAATTGACACGGGAGAAAGCAACTTCCCAACTTTGGCTAGTGACCATGTGTTACAGATTGACTATAAGTAACTTTGGTGAAATACTGAAGTCAACCTCACGCAAAAATATGCCTAAGCTAGCCAAGAGGTGGGATGGGGTGAGGTGCAGCACATGCACTTGCACAGAGCGGCATAATTGTGTATAATTTCTATAATGGCGGTAGAGCCGGGGTGGGCAGTACAGTCAACGTTTGCACAGGGCGACATACTACGTCGCACCAGCCTTGCAAAGAAGCTAACAAATTCAACAACATTAACATATCCAGGTTTGCAGTATTCCTGAAGATATGAAAGTGCGGCTATAGAAAAACATGAAAAAGCCACTGAAGAAAAACAGTCAAACTCACAAAGGAATGTGGAGTTATTGTTTGCACAATGTACCCGTATTTAGTTGCCACATCTGACCAAATCAATGATGACAGCACTCTGTTAGAAGTGAAATGTCCTTACAGTTCAGGAAGATATCACACCATCTTGTGTAAACTATCTTAAATTATAATATTTTCAAAAAGAGAACCAAAATTCGAGCGCTTTCGAATAGTTGAAGAAGAATAGTCAACTATTCGAAAGCGCTGGAGTTTTGGGTCTCGTTTTGAAAATATTACAACTTTTATAGATGATCCTGTGTGCTAACTACTTAACCTGGATCTATCTTAAATTAGATGTGCATATCATGTTGCAGTTAGATCAAAACCATCACTATTACTTCCAAGTTTAACTTTTCTGTTCCGAAAGAACAACGTGCAATATCATTGTGTGTATACCTGACAAGATTTATAAAATATACCTATTGAAATGTGTTTGCAGATAAGTGCAAAGCTAAACAAAGGGCCATCTGTGCTCTGCCCACCACGGGTATCGAAACCCGGTCTCTAGCGTTGTAAGTCCGCTGTGTCACTGGGGGTATCTACTAAAATAAATGGTGAACTTATTAATGCTATCTTTAAACAAAGAAACGAAACTAGACCCACTTTCTATTGTTTGTTGTTTT